TCGTCAATAAAAAAACATATTGAATAGACGAATCGTGTTTAGGTTTCGAAACAAATGGTAAGTGTTAAAAAAAACAAATTTGTCGTTGACGAGAGGGTCAAGGGACCCGTTCCGTTCTGGTAATTAAAAAGAGAAAAAAGAATTTCTTTTGGCAATATATTATAATACTTACCTGATTTATACCTTTGTCTATATAATATGTTTGCGTATACGTGGAATATATAAATGAATATACACAAATAACTTACTGTAAAAAACATTAAAAAAAAAACTTTAGACTTCTATCGTTTTTATATACTTCACGTGGGCCACTCTTATATTTGCATGAAAACACACTCCTATCACAGAACATCCTCTCTCTCTCTCTCTCTCTCTCTCTCTCTCTCTCTCTCTCTCTCTCCCTCATTACCCAAGAACGTTTACAGAAGCACACAGAAAGATCAATCGAGAGGATCCATGATCGATTAGGGTTTAACGATTCTTTCGATCTTTAAGGAGAAATTTATGTTAGGGTTTTGGTTGGGATGTCTAATATTCAAGAATGGAGAAGGCTATGGAGAAGCTCATCTTTAATAATGGTGTTCTTGCTTTATGCTCTATCACACATCTGGGTCTTCCGGGGAAACTCCGCCGCAGGGGCAATTCGGGTATTTCGGGAAATTCCGCCGCCGGCGAGTAACCAAGAAGACCTCGTGAAGAAGTACTTGGCCGGAAAATTTTCTCCGTCGGGTCGGGTTGTCGGAATCGGAAACGGCTTCAAAGACACGAAAAGAACGGTACCCAGTTGTCCGGATCCTCTCCATAACTAGTAAAACCAGCCAATTTGTTACAAATTTTTCCTTCTGTTTTCTTGTACTCTTCATGCTTCTTCTTGTTCTTGTTAATTATGCATCCACTAATGTATTTTCTCCAAAATACCCACGTTTTTTCCGTCTATGTAAGGTGAAAACGAGGGTATTTTGGAGATCTCAGCGAAGGAAGAACACTACGAGTAATGGCTTACTAGTCTTGTGAACAAAATCAAAGTGATGAGAAATTCTCTCATCTTTATTATGCCGTTAGAGTTTTTTTCTTCTTTTCTATTTTTTATTATACTGTGAAAAAAAATGGTAAGGGAAAGAAATGGTTATCAAATCTCTATAATTGATGTTACACAATTTCAATGGAACTTCAGATAAAAACTCGTTGGTACTCTTCATCTCTGATGCCGTGTTGTCTTCATTTGCAGTGAGACAAACATCGTCAGGGAAAAATATATACGTACGTACCAATAATATATATATACCCACACCATATTATATAGTAGGATGTGTATAATATTTATATATATATATATATATAATATGGGTACGCATATATAACATTTACATATATAGATTGATTTTTTTAGTTTTCGATTATTCTCTTCTCCGGTAAGCAGACTTTCTGGCCGCTGATCGGTCGGTATAAACTATACTATTACTAGATTCCGCTAATAAATTATTTCGATTACAATACTTACGTAAACACTGAAATATGATCCATATATACAGACATACGATAAAGCTTGGTTTGATTTGCGAGGGACGAGGAACAGTGCACAAAGTTGACGTCATGGGTCATGATGAGAATTTCCAACCGTCGGATCAGTTGACTTTGTGATCAGTAAAAGATGCATTGACCATGACCATTTCCTACAAGTCACAAAAAGCACCACTGAAGCCTTTTGTAAAGCTTCCCTTTTTCCCCACTCTAGCCGTCGACACGAAAACGATTTTGTAACGTTATATATAATGGTCCTTTTGTAATATTTATGTAAATGTTATGAATTTGTTAGAAAACCAATTATACGTTTCTGATTTATTTTGGTTTAATAACCAATTTTAATCGCTATATACACTGTGTGATAATTAAATGAGCAAATAAGCCATTTGCCCACAAAGTCCGAACATGTGATCTCTCAAGTAGACATATAAAAAACCGAATATTTCCATTTTATAGCAAAGTTTTTATGTAAAAATAATTAAATTACCGTTGGGATTCGTGGGCGAAAGCTAATGGCGTAAAAGATATTACTGTCGCAAAGAAAACAGAGAAGTGAGAGAGATGAAGAAGTTGGATATGGACGGTAGCGTTTGGATTCTATTCATTTATTCGTCTTATTTATTTATCTGTACCACTCCGTAATAATATCGAGTGAAGACAATTTATAATCGATTACTCGGAGACAAATATTAAAAAAAATAATAAAATATATAAAACTAAATTCCACGTGAACTTGCTTTAAAACTACGCAAAATTAGTCTAAAGAGATTATACTCAAACCTGTAATATATAGTTATGGCTGTTTAGATATTTTCTTCTCATGAATTCATAAAAACACATTATTCAGATGGATATAAAAAACATAGATAATGAATTTTTTTTTTACAATCATAAGTTAATACATATTTCTGAATACTAAGCATAAACATGTAATGAAGTCGCTTGGTTCATATGAAAAGTAAAACATTTACGTAATTAAAAATAAAAAAATAAATCTTGTATTTATATCCATGTCGATTACTATGATTTTCTCTTCTTTTTAACTATAATAACAGTATTCCTTATTTTCTTTATTTCCTATATATTGAAGTTTATCTTTTGGATGGTATAAGAAACTCCGAAACTTTTTGGTTAATACAATTTATGCTTTACAAAAAAAAAAAAAAAGTAGTGGAATTAAATGTAAGAGGATGGTTATAAAACTATATCAATAGAAAATTGATAAACATGGATTGAAGGGTAAACTTTTCAGCTTTCGAAATGCTTCGATTTTATTGGCACTTGTTTGAAATGTAGTAAGGTATAATAATTTTAGAATTAAAATAATAAAATAAGATTTTGAGAGAGTGAGGTGTTGGAATTAGGTTAAATTTGGGTGTTTTGTGAGAGGAGAAGCAGAGAAACCAATGTGGGCGAAGCCTTTGTGTCTTCTTTTTGTCTTTTACTGTTTGGATTTGGAATCGCTTTGACTGTCTCTTCTCCCATATTTTATTAGTTTATTGAAGTGAAGTATTATAAATTATAGTACTTATATTTATTACCATAAGCTAAATTGTTTTTTTTAAAATGCCGCAAATTATTTTATTGGTGATACGTAATATCATACGTTGGTCATTGTACAATATACGGTATACATGTTCGTTACCTAGTTAGAATAATCATGTGAATCTCGTATATTTCTCTAGGCTAGGAAAAAAAAAAAGACACTTTACACATATTTTCTATACATTTTTGCATAGAGAAATATTTCTTCTATTATTACCGTGTGAATATTCGCGAGTACATGACACGCGCCAATGCTGCGAGTGGGATATATTTCTTCTGGGAAATCCGAATCGAGCCCATCTCGGACTCTTTAGCCCAATATTCCCAAGTTCAATAGGCCTTAGGCCCATTTGTAATTTTCCCATGTACTGTAAAAAGCAAAAGCAAATCCAAATTTCAATATATATTGGGCTTTCAGTATGGGCCCAATACACGTTTCACTTGGATGTAGACATAACCTTTTATTAAACAGCCCACCCATATTGGTAACGTAAAGAACAATAAAACACGCCTAATGATCGAAAAGAAAATTGCAAGCATATATTAGACCGATTTTAGATATAAAATTTCTATTATACGACACACAAATATATATATATATTGTTATAGTTAATAATTTTTTTTATTTGTATCACAAAAAACACATGGAGTTTGCATAGAAATAAACCCAAAAGTTATAACTGTCAAACTTCATGTAAATACGTATAAAAATTTATGATACAAAGGAGTGAAGAAGATATCGATTTTCAAAGTCAAACCAAAGTCTCCGAGGAAGTGAGTGGTTATAAAACCTTAAAGAGAGACCAATACAATATTCTAAATTTCTAATGAATGATTTCTCTCCACAATTATTTAGCCAATTGCTTCACGAAAAAGCATACACAATACACATTTTTACAATATTAATTTGGACTCACCATCACCAACTCCCCACAATTTGCAACATTTTTTTCCACCCTCGAAAACGATTTATGAGCGAGCCCACTTTTGATATTTTTTCCAATGCGTGCAACACTATTTTTCATGTGGTCAAAGTCGATCCACATATATCTTATAGGATTTCTAATTTAATTACACTCTCTCTCTAAAAAAGTAATACGAGATCCGTAAGTCAACTTAAAATATTTTTTTTTATAATATGAAAAGGTAAATTCTTTAAACAAAAAAAAATAATTAGTAAATGTTCTTTTTATTTGCTGAATTTAACATAAAAATCATTCGTATGGTCCATTTTTTCCATGTGAATGAAAACCAACGCAAGCAAGTGATGATAATTTGATTAGAACATAACATCATATCACAATCTCAATAATTCGAGCAAGCACTTTGTAAGGCCGAACAAGCCGCCGTCGCATTATAATAATATCACATTAATATTCAATCGGTCCTCTTGAATGGGGGTTTCATGATTTCATTATCATACTGATTTAGATAGGTAAACCACATATATCCAATTAAATTTCAAATCGAAAGTGATTTGAAACTATCTGATTTTTGTTAAATTTAAATTACCCGAATCTAAATCAAATACATAAAAATAATTTTAAAAAATGGAAATAAATAACCAAGTAAAATCCGTGGAAATTAAGTTGATATGTTTTTTTTTTAGCCGAAAATTTAAACCCTAAAATAAACAAATTTGGACCAATGAGTCCATCCATGTATGAATCAAAACTTTGAATCCACCTTATATGAAATGTCTATGGCATTTAGTCCTAATGAGCCAAAAATGAACCGATGGCATGTGACAAGTGTTCACAACACGCACAAAACTTTTTATATGAGGTGCCCATCAAATCTTTCTGATGTCATAATTTGGACCGTATCCTGTGGACATGTGTGGTAGCTTCACGATAGAGAAGAATACCAAACATACAAATTTCAATTTTATTTTAAATATATTCGGACCGCTTAAGATTGAATGCCAAGTAAACAGAAGAAGAGCTTATCACATCCAATCAAAAGGGCTTTCACACGCATTTCTTAAAGAACACACAACAGCTCCGTATTTATACGAATAAACTCAAATAGGGCAAAACTTACAAAGATGAGAGAGCTAATGAATCAAAAGGGCCATTAAGCAAAACCCCAAAAGCCCCAAGACTCAAACCCTTCTCTCACCTTTCTCCACTGACATTAAAACATTTAATATCTAAAAAAAAAAACTCACCACAACGTGCAAAACCGCTTTGTCCCGTAGAAACACAAGTCTTCTTGGTCCCTTGAGAACACTGTCCACTGTCCTCTAACAGTAGTAGTAGTAACCTTAAAAACATGTAGTAAAATAACTTATGGGCATACAATATTGAGGGGGGTTGCAATGTGATCCGCAAAAGCAAATTTGTCGCTGGCACCGCCAAGATCGATGTCTATGTCCGAGAAATCACAGTCCGGGAGCTCGCTCGGACCATCACCTTCCAGGCCGAAGATGTCCATGTCATCTATCCCACAGTACTCATCCAGGAAATGACCATTCTCTTCCATGAAGAGAAAATCAAGCTCAGAACCATTCGAGACCAGAGGCTCATCCACCAAGCTGTCGAGTTCGGGAATCTGTAGATCTGCAAAGTTGAAGTCAAACCCTCCTTTGACCATATCACCTAGTTCCGAGCCTTCAACCAAATCTTCAGCAACAACATTGGACCCTGAAGCTGAGACAGAGGCCATAGTATCTGATTCATGGGAAGCATACGGATTTGACAGAGAACTTTCAGACACATCAGAGGAGACAACAGGTTTAGGGTTTTGACCAGAAGCAGCAGCAGCCAAACTATCAAACTCGAGTTTCTTAGCAGCATAAGCATCGGCTGCTTCTTCGAGTGTCTGATATGTTCCCAACCAAGTTCGAGCCTTTGTAATTGGGTGTCTAATCTCAGCAGCCCATTTCCCCCATTTCCTCTGCCTGACACCAATTGGCTTTGATACACCAAAACGTCCCTCCCGAGAGGTTTTGCTAGACAACTTCTTGTTACAAGTTGAGATTTTGGTTTTGCCCCCGTCGTTGCTTTCCCGACAAGACGAACCTTCAGGTTCCGCCAGAGAAGCTCGAGAGAAAGGAAGGTTGATCTCACGAACAAAACGTCTCAGTTTCGGGACTTTCTCCCGACCCATCTCATCCTCATCTTCGCTCGAGGAATAATCTGTGGCGTAAGGATCATTCACAACAATACGGATTTTCCTCGTCACCTTCAGGTCTTCAGACAAACCAGGAAGGTGATTCAGAAGGAAAGCCTTCGCCTTTGGAGATTCTGAGGGTTTATTGGTTTGGCTCAAAGAACGTTTTCTTGGTTCAGGCATTTTGTCGAACAGATTGTCTACGAACTAACCGAAACCCTCCCTTAATGCTTAAACCCCCTCCAGATGCCCAGTGAGAAACTTAATAAACAAAAAAAAGAGAGGCAAAATTGGCGAGAAAGGTGGAATATCAAGTGAGAACCTCTCTCAAGAACAGGTAAAGCTGATTTATACGAAATCCTCCAAAAATCTTCACTCCCGAACAAGTCCTGCGGCAAGATCGAACCCATTTCATATTCAGACAGGACATCATGAAACAGAGCTGAAAAGTAATGAAATTGATGAAAACCCAGATACCTTTTTGGCCTTAAACGCATGGAAGCTGATGGAGTCGCCGGAGTCAACCGCTGCTCGAACCAGCAGCAGCTTTGGGGGCGAGAAACGCCGCCGAGCAGAACAGAGAGCGATGAAGGAGGAGAAGCAGAAGACAGAGACAAAGGGGACGAAACACAGAGAGTCACCGGAGCTTCGATCAAATTAAGACAAGACACTTCCGACATAAATCCGCTCGCCGGCGACTCTGTTTCGCTCCGGTGATCTCACGAACAAACAAGCCCTTCCCCTCCCCTCTCTCTCTCTCTCCCCTGCGTTTTCCAAAAGCGAAAAAGTAGCTTGAGATACTGGTAGATATAGAAGCAAAAGAAGAAGATAAAGCAAGAATCGGATGACAAATCTATGGTCACGATTTCCCTCGCTATTACGACAGGACAAAAGGATCGGTCGGAGAAAAACAGTAATCAGTTTTCCCCAGGAAAAAACAAAAAAAAATGAAGGAACCCTAGAAGTCCAAGGATGTAAAAGCCGACCGATCAAACGTAGATCTCAAAGTAATTTAATAAACGATAGATTCAGACGAATCCCCAAACGGAGAAGAAAGCACAATTTCTTTCCATTTCTCTTTTTTTTTTTTTTACCTTAATTATTTTCTTCTCTTCTCGGCGTCTCCACTCTCTCTCTCCTCCGTCACAGACCCTTTATATACACACATTCAGTGTTCTTGCACTTCAGTTTGGGTTTCACTGTTTTACAAATATGCCAAGAAGGCGTAGTAAATGAAAACATATTATGGTTTTACTGTAAATACTAAAAAATCCTTCAATTTTGGAAGTTATTTTTATTTTTCCTTTTTTTATTTAATGTTATCGAAAACACTGCTACTACAGACTGGAAATTCACAATTTGTACGACAGTAATAAATTCAAATAATAAAAAATAAAAGTCACCTAAGGTGTTACAAAAACCGAGGGTTTAACCGATATTGAAATAATAATAATACAACTGCAGCTTATAATATATGATTAATTCGAAATAAAATCAAACGAAAGTTTGAAGTAGTAGTGGTCTGCGTGCATGTTTAGGAGAGAAGTGGTAGCATTATTATTATTCATGAGATTAATTGTTTTTTTTAAATGTAACATTTGTTGGTTAAAGCGACTAAAAGACCGTCAAGGTCAAGATTAGAGTGTGACAAAATCTGCAGAGTTTTCAACCATTTTTTTTTTTGCGTTTTCTAAACGCGCAAATGATAAAAAGGCATTTCCACTTGGGTCCGCGTTTGGTGAACGTGGGTCTGCCACTACCCCCCTCATTTTCCAAAGCCACGATTCCTTTTTGGAAATTACAGGGGAAATAATATGATATAAAAAAAAAAATATTTTTATAAATATGAATTACACTATTAACCCAGTGGATATCTTGTATAAAACAAAACCCGCGTTTTAAACGCTGTGATTTTTCATAAGTTATGTTTTATTCGGAGAAACAAAGGTGGAAAAAAAGCCATGTGAATGGTATTATTATTCCCTGCTTTTGGAAAATTGAGGGGCCATATCTAATATATAATCCTCCATTTTTGTTTTCTTTCTCCGGCGACTTTGCTTGTTGTTAACCTCTTTTTATTGTTTCGTCGAAAAATTAAATAAATAATATTTTTATTTTTATTTTTGATTAAACAGAAAATCAATTTTATTACAGAACTCGTGATTCAGCGTTTGTTTCTTTTCGCGTTACAGTTTTACATTCAGAATCACTACGCCTACGTGTTTCCCATTGGTCCAATCTTCTCTACGAATAACACTGCCACTGTATCAGTACCGTATTCTAATTTATTATACAAACCTTTCTAGACCTAGAAGAATACTATAAAATAAATATTTTTTTGTTAAGAAAACGAATATTAAAACGGGAAGGAAAACATGGGATGCACGCTCGGAGGCACGTGACTAAACTATTGTACCGAACGTACAGATTATTAATGTAAGAAAGAATCCAACGGCCCATACTTTGCCAGCAAAATAATTGTACCATGCTCTCTTGTAGGTTGTCTCCCATTATCTATGAACATATGTATAGATTTTCAATCAAAATAAAGATGATGATAATAATAATATATCAAAGTATACGATATTGTGTATTATTATCAAAGTAAAACGTCAATAAACACATACTTATGTAAACATTACCAAAAAAAACGTCTGGAATGTTACGTGCCTACGACTAGGGGTGGCCGTTTCGGAAAATGGTTCGGATTCGGGACGGAATAGATCGGTTCGGTTCTTTCGGTTTTACAAAAATATGTACCAATCGGATTTTTTATTGTATTCGGTATCGGATCGGTTCGGTTCCAGGTTTTATTAAAAAAATGATAGATTTCCTTTAAAAATATTCGGTTTTTCGGGATTTTTAAAGTTCGGTTTGGTTCGGTTTTGGGAAAATTCGGTTCTCTAAAAATGGTATCGTTCAGAAAATAACAGCGATTTCAGGTAAAAAAAATATTGTTTTAACGGTTCGGATCGGTCCGGTTCTTCACGCCCAGCCCTAACTACAACAATATTTTTTTAGAAAATTAATGACTTTTTAGAATTGATCCTTTTATTTTTCATTTAATAATATAATTATTACGCAACTGTAATTCGGGCTGTACCATTCTTGTTTCAAAACTGAGCCAGTGGGGGCCGGATGGTGTCGGATTTCCAGTGCCACGTGGCGGTTGACGATGGACAATTTTTTTTTTTTAAACAATCAATGAAGATGGGAAATTTTTTACAAATTAATTTCTGCGGTAGATTTAAACCATAATAAATAATATATACAATAATGGGTGAATGAAGTTAAACATCAATTCATTAATTGAAACGTCACGGTAGTGGTGGGAAGTTGGGGGGGAAGAAGAGGCCAAGTGGTGGACGGAACCTCGAGGGTTTTAGCCGCCGACGTGGACCCCACCTCCTCTATTTGTAGGAAAATAAAAATAAATAAAAGGTCCGATTATATCATTATCCGCACACAAAATTCAAAATGTCAGATTTCACATCCTAGTCATGGCCTCATAATTGTGAGTATTAACTTTGATTTTTTTTTTCTCGTTATTAAATGATTTTCCACGTGTATTGCATTTATATGGGCCTTTGGCCCACTATTGAAAATCAGAATGGGCCTATGAGAGAAGCCTAGTTCTATTATAAGGAATTTAATAGGTACAATATTATCTAATTAAAATTCTGTTTTTCACTTTTCCAATTTACAAAGACCGACTTTATAAACGAAGACTTTACAGTTATACCCTCTGAATTATATACGCTTCATATATTCTTTTTAAAATTGATTTAGTTCATTACCCACTAATTCCACTAAGACACGAACTCATCGCTATTTAATAATAATAATAATAACTTATTATAAAAATATGTGAAAATGATCTGTATACTCCATAAATATAAAATCCCTCGATGTATATTTCGAAGATATATTAATGCCAATTAATATCACTCTGCTTCAGTAAGACATACAACTCTCACAGCATCCCTAATAGATAAACAAATTTTCATTTTTTCCTCTGTTGAGATCATAATTTCTGTTATATTTCTGGCTATTATTCAACGGTTTTGTTAATATTAAATAATGCATTATTTTGTGTGGGTATAGTTTACTGTATTATTATAATCTATAAAATTCATGATAATGGAATATACAATTATATTTCGTTTACTTGACAATTAGACCGTGGACTTCTCCAACTTTAATCAAAGAATTCAACAATCACGAGGTTTTCAACGTATATATATACACATGTATAATGCAAACAATGATCACGGGTTACTGTCTTTTATTATAACAGGAAGATTAAAAAAATAAAAAAGGTTAGAATTAGAAATATAAAAACCTACATGAATTTCCGTATGAATTCCTTTTTATTCCCTCTCACCGAATATGCCACGTCACGAGCTGACGCTTCCTTGTCTATGCATGACGTCATCATTCATCTCCACCGTCCATTGTTGTGGTTGACTAAAATGCTCCTCCTCGAAAGTCAAAACGACGGTCTATAAGATGCAAGTTAACGATTACATGCACTTTACGAAAGGTCCTTGTGCACTTGCAAATCCATTCACATTGACAGTGAAACGGCTGTGTTTTGGTTTCTCTTTACATGGGAAAGGAAGGGGAGATGAAACGGCAGGAGGATAACGGAAGAATCGACGGAAACGGAGG